ACTAAAACAATTTATTCTGTTCAGATTGGTGACAGAATTGCCACAGACAGTTTCCCACCTGACAGCCACTGTGTTGGGGTGAAAAATGTATATTCCTGATTGTCTGAATCATGATGGATTACGGTCAATATTAACTCTTTCAGCCGCCTGACCCGGGAGAGTGGACTTGGATTAATTACTGGGAATATCAGTCAGCGTTGTGATCTCAGAGTCCCAACATGAACACACCACCTGTTCTGGGAGTAAATCTCTGTGTTTGTGCTTTGTTGCTTGAGGAGCTTGCACCTTTCTGTGTGTAATTCTCTGTGGCCCATTGCACAGTCACACAAGTAACGTTGATCAGTAGGAAAGTCCCAGCATTAGATCTGATCAAAGCGCACAGGCTGTAGGGTATAACATTCAATGACTCGATATTCAGATCAATACAATCAGAAACCAACAGATAATTCCCAGTGAAAAGCTTCTGTTTGACATTGAAATCCTGAACTGAAACAATCGGCTGCAGTGAGAAATGAGGAGCCACTGATTTCTGAATTCTCCTTTGGGCACTGGATCTGGAACCTGTATAAGGTCGACAAGAGCTGCGATCTTACAGCAAACCTGTCAGAGCACAACATAAATCTCAAACCTCGGGAAATAATCATTGTAACGACTGAAAAAACAACAGGACACAGAACAGCTCCGTGTGTGGCCACTTCACAAAATACTCAAATGGAATGTGAAGTAAAATGGAAAAAAGTTATCTTTTTAAAATCAATGTATTTATGGTTGTTATTCCAGACACATTTTCATGAAAAGAACAAGTTATTTATTTGCTGAATTTGAGGACAATCTTGGTGATCAGTAATTATCTAATTATCATCTAATTATCAGTAATAAAGTATTTTTCTACATTAATGTGTTTCGTGTTTATTGAGAGTCTGTCCCACTCAGTAGATAATCGAGTTTCCTGTTACATTTAGGGAAAGGCCAAGGCCGCTGGAGCCGCAATGGCTTCTGTGGCAATTCTCTCTCAGACCATTTCTCAGCTTTGTCTCCATGTACCTTCATGTCCTGACTTATTAAATATCAGTTCTTCCCTCTTCCCAATGGCCCAAATAACTGTGTCTATGGCCTCATTAGGCTGTTCATTCCTTATGTTCACAGTCTCAATGTGAAAACCGCACCAAGTGTTGGAGTACCTGAACAGTGGACAGTTAATATTGTGCAGTGCATCGCTGGTGTAATGTGGCACAGATATACAGCCTAATCACCCAGAGAATAATATGCAGTGCCTCTTACACTCAGCTTGTGATATCACTTCTTATTGCCCGGTTGACTTTGTCAACACATTTTCTGCATCGTTTGTTGTATTCTTACATACACAATAATTAACAGGCGCTGACTTTACTCAGCAAACAATAGAAATGATGGAGAGTTCTCTGTCTTTATATTTCTATATTGTTTGTGGTTTATTTTTGTTATTTGCTATTCAGGACTTCGAGTTTACAGGAAACGATTGTTTGTGGATGTGATGGAATAGTTCATGTTGCAGAACAGCTCATGAGCAAAATGCTAAACAAGTTACTGCTTTTTATATCTAAAGTCTTCTTGCTTGAAAGACGCTTCACACAGAATGATTCACGTCGCCTTCAGGTGGGGCAGAAACTCAGAGCACAACTGTCAGGAAGCAGCTGTGATTGTGTGCAGTCAGTCAGTGAGCAGCTTCCTGCTCTCACACCGTGGGGCCCACAGCCGGACCTTTCATACATTATTCCCCTTCACACCAACAGCAACAGCAGCTGTTGGGTCACCTCAAGTGGCTGTGATTGGTAATTCAGAGATGGCAGAATATAGTCATATTAATACATAAAACTCGTTCTATTTGGCAGTTTCTTTCACGTCTGGTGAACGTTTCTAAACACTTTGTATACTTCACTTTGAAATGTAGTGAAGTTCCCATTAAGTAACTTCTTTCAAGCACTTTCCTCTGCGATTTCCTTCATCCACAGTGACGCTGCTCCCTTTGCTCAGTGACAATCGCCTGTTTCATATCCCACTGCTCTATCTGCCCCACCATTACCATTAAACTCTCTGGAACTCACAGGCCTTTCGTGGCTTGTTTTCTTCTTCATTGAATAACGAGCTGTACCCGTTGCAGCTTCACTTGCAACCAAAGGATCCAATATGGAATGTGGATTGACTCACAGACAGACATTTCATCTTAATCTCTACTCATCTGGGAGGCCTCCTGTGGGAGGACACCATTTGAGAGGACTGAGTTGGAGGACTCGGTACTATATAAATGTAATTTTGTTGCTGTTGCCGTGGCTTAGCTTCACCTGTGTCTTTATTTTGTTCCGGCCGCTTGGCTACGTACCTGATCTGTGGCGCTGAATGCCCCAGCGCCACGTACAGCCGGCGTGGCCACCAGGTGTAACTTCAGTGTGTTCGGTGGTACTCTGTGATACACGATCCCATGGCACCACTTTGACTCGGTGGCCACGAGGTATAACTACAGCAATCACACAAAACTGTAAATAACTTGTGAACGATACGAGGTACACAAAAACAAATCTGCCCATGTCACTCCCAGGGGCAATAACTTTCTGGTTCGGTATAAATCATGTATCTACGTCAATCAGTAAAAGGGATCCTTCTTGTAGCGAAGACAGACATTATCGTTTAATTATTATAATAAAGATAGAAGAATGGATGGATTTACATTTGTGTCATGAAATCTTCTGGTGTAATTCCTGAATCTACTGATAATAATATAATAATTATAATCTTTGCATTTGATATAGCGC